CAGCAGGAAACTTCCAGCACAGAACTGAGAACAGAATGCGCAGTGGTCCTGGGAAGCCTTGCCATGGGGACAGAGAACAATGTCAAATCCCTGCTAGACTGCCATATTATCCCAGCCTTACTGCAAGGTACTTTTCCCTTGATGGATCTCTGTTTGTAAACATTCCTCAAATACTCAATTAACTGAAGATAATGGAACTGAATAGTAGTTTTTGTCTGTATTTATAGGATTACTGTCACCAGATCTGAAGTTTATTGAAGCTTGCCTGCGATGTCTCCGAACCATTTTCATCAGTCCCGTAACTCCAGAGGATCTGCTATACACGGTAAGTTGGAAGAAGATTATTGTGTCCTTTGAAAACCCATAGAGTTGGCAGCAGTGAAAGGTCGTCTTGTTTGCAGTAGTAACAAGGACTTACTTGACCTGTAATGTTGCATTTCTCATCTATGTTTAAGACCTCTGTCTCACCTCACATTTATAGCAATATTTGATAGGAGATAGTGGACAAGGTAGCACACTGATTAAAAAAAACCTGAAATTTTCAGGCTTGTGTGCAATCTTAAGGGGTAAAAGCTGTCTCTAAATGATATTTACAGATACCATTATCATACTTTTTTCTTTTCTTACTTGTTTCCAGGATGCTACTGTTATCTCCCACCTCATGGCGCTGCTCAGTAGGTCTCGTTATACGCAGGAATACATATGTCAGATCTTCTCGCACTGCTGCAAAGTAAGGAAGAGAATATGGGGTCTTTATGCAACTTGTGTTTCTGGCGTTTAAGAAACTGTGCAAGATGATACTGCCCTTTGTGGCATTAAGGACCGAACTGTTATTGCTCTGGATTTACTGACAGATTTATTTGAGTAGATGTATAACAAATTAGGCACGTAAGTGGGGTTTTTTGTACAGGGCGTGTACACAAAGTCAAAAGTCCAGGGAAATACCGGTCCTTTCTATTCTCAATAGAAATACTGGCAGGCTTGGTTGTTGTTGTTTTCCCTCTGGAAGTCTCCAGACAGCATGAGCATCGCTTTGCAGAGAGGAGGAGAAATGCTCTTCTCCATTGAGCTCTACCAGGTACAGGTTTGTCCAGATACGTGTTCATTCCTTTTTTCAATTCTCTTGATATGGGAGAACTAATTTAAAACCCCACCCCAAACACAGAGGTTTTTGTCTTCCCTCCGCCTCCAAGTTTCCACACACCACTGTTTTTTGGGTCTTCGGTAGTTCCTGTTCCCATGTGTTAACAGTAACTATATCAAAATGATTCAGTGTAGGAACTCAGATTTGTACAGCATCTTTCCCTTTTAGAAGCAGTTTAAAACTAAAAGATCATAGATCAAATTTATCTCCCAGACTGACAAATGAAAAAGTTCCAAAATTGAGGAATTTGTAAGTATTTACCTTGAAAAATATGTTTCTACTTTATCACTTAGAGTGAGTCTTCTGGAACTCTGAATTATTCCTTTGTTAGAAATATGTTTTTTTCCTGTACCTTGACAGTTATTTCTGTACGTTAATAACTCCAGGTCATTAATCCAACATGAAAACAGTTACTGTACGTCTTTTTCCAATGGAGTTACTTCTTTGTAGTTCATTAACTCCTGGTGACTTACATATCCAGTATCTTGTTAACAAGGCAAATGCCCAGTCACCTAACAGCAGTGCAGTCTTACCAACTCATGACACTGTTTTGAATGCCCTCCTCTACCCCCAGATCTCTCTTGAACAAATTTTACAGTGGAAGTTTTGGAAAGCTCAGGGTTTTGGAAAGAGAAAGTTGATTATGTGAACAGATAGAAACATGAATGCACAAGAAAAGCAGGATGATGTGTTGAGTGTTAGGAAATAATTGCATTTGCAGTATAGACATTAGCTACATAACAAATAAAAATACTTGAGGTTGAGTAAACAGATCACCAACAAGTGATTGATTGATCAAGAACTCATTTCTCTTGTGCCCAGGCAAATGAATCTGTTCAGCAAAACCCCAAAATGTCCCCTTCTTTCTTTTTCACTTGCATCTTGGGTTTCCGGTCATCTTATCAAAGTCAATTCCTGTGTTTTCAGACATAACAAAATATATCTAATGCAGTGAAGCAAAATTTGCGGGGTATTTTCTGACTTACACTCTTATCACTTAAAAAAATTAGCTACTGAAAGTTTTGGTATTCACCACATTTTAAGGAAGACTCCATCTACCCCCCCCGCCCCCCAAAAGGCCTTGATTAAGAGAACTTCTCTGATTTTTTTCCTAAAGGAATAAGTTACTATAAGAGTTAGTATTTATATAAGGCTTACCATATCTTATAAGAGTTGTTTATGCTTTTATTGTTTTTTTCCTCACCTTGGTAGATTTATTCATTAAACTCGTAGTGCCACATCAGAGCTCCTGCTCTCCTTGTGCTCTGCTCGCTGCTGTGCACCCGTGTTCTCTCCTGGCAGAGTCCTGATTTTGGGCTGCTCTGTTTTCTTTCTTGCCTGCTCCAATTGCCCTGGAAAAGCTCAGCCCTGTTCTCTGGAGCTGGGAAATCCTTAATTCAGGTTCTTAGTACATTGCTGCTTTTCTCTGCTTTTTCTGCTTACTTGTACTGCTTCTCACTGCATTTTGAGAGTTAAAATTGACTGGTGGATAACATTGACCCTGGAGAAGAGCCATCCTAAGCACGGACAAGTGTTGATTTACAAGGGGGAGCAGATGCAGTTCTTAACGTACAGAGCCAGGATTATATCAAGGTATAAGCAAATAAATGAACTGAAAGCAGGTTGATGTGCACGGCGTGGTAAAGTGCAAGTCAAAATGTACTTTTAAAGGTTCTCTCTGTGGCAGTTGATTTGTTTCCAGAGCAAGTGATGTGAGCAGGAAAGCTTTACTATTTTCGTGATCAAATTACAAAGATAAGGTGTGCATTTGGAAACACGCAATTGTATGAATCATTTGAAGAGATAGTTTTGGAACGGATATTTGTATGTGGTAACATCTCTGCATAAGTGATTGTTTCACCACTAGTTGAAAATTAAAATCTGTGTCTGGGAAACATCCAGCACAAAGCCTGTAATCGAGGCAGCTTCCTCCCAAGCCTGTTCTGAGAGCGTTTCCTGCTGTGATCTTAGGCCTGGTGCTGGATCTCTGAACCAAGGTGCATGTGCATTTAGATACCTGCTTTTAAAATGTCATTATGGGATGAATTGTTACATTGTCCTGTCCTACTGCTTCCTTGGAAGTTGTCATTCTGTGATGGAAAATCATGCACGAAGTGTGATTCCTCTTCCTGAAATATTCTGTCATTCAATCATATTTGGAAAAAAAAGGTTTGTGACAGGACCAACTCCTGGAGCTCTGTTTGATACTCAAAGAGAAGCAAAAGCAAAAGGCCCTGCTTATAAGCTGGGACCTGAGCTGCTTGGAATGGGGAGGGAATGACAAATTGCATTCTCCAGTTTTCACACTTAGATCCAAAACCGTCCCTGTTGATGGGTTAGTGCTTACCCTGATTGTGCATTAAACAAGCTGGGTTGGTGTGTACAGTTTGGATACTTCCATGTACATCTGGTTATGCAGCTAAGAATACACCCAGGTGTCACCCCTGTACATCCTGTTTGCACAGAATTTACCATCAGTGTCTCATTGAAAAATCACTAATACTTGTGAATTGCTAAAACCAGCTAGGTCAGTGTGATTTCTTCTACTTTAATTTCATTCTTTTTTTTTCCCCCACGTATTTTAATATCTGTTCTTCAGCTTCAACACTGGCATAGCTGCGGCTTTAAATCATTGCCTCAGCCACTTCTGTGTGCCAGGGCAAGTTGTTTTCATACTTCAACCGTGCTGTTTTAATTGCATATCTTGGTAGGAAGCTCTTGGTGGCAGTAGCAGCTGAAGCATCTCTTAAAGCACCAGATATGTTACATCTAAAAGTATTCCTATGCTTTTTTGTTTAGAGATAAGGGGTGTTCTAAAACTTGTTCTTTTGAATATGAGAGCAATCTGATTTCAGCTGTGTCTCAGATGTGAAAATCAAGTGTCGCTCGTGTGTACTAGGGTGTATAGATGTGCCCATAGACTCAGCTGGGTTTGAGCAGCAGATGAAGGAGTGAAGATCTTTTCTTCACTTGCAGATTAATCAAGAAAGGCATCAAGGTCTGATCAATGCTGTAATGTTCTAAAAGCTGAATTTAAATGATGCATGGTGACCGGAGTCATTGGTCTGCTCTGCAGAGATGTCTGTAAGTCACAGCTCAGATGGCACCAGAGACTCTTGCAGGTTTCTGGCCCCAGGGAGATCTCAGGTTGGTTTTCCCAAGCTCATTGAGCCATGTCATACTGCAGAAATTCCCAGACCTTTCTACCGCAGAATTCAGCCTAACGATACTGTATCAATATTTCACTTCACCAGTGAAGAAGATGTTAGTAACTGAGGATCTTTTACGTGATTTGTAGAGAAAATAAGGAGCTTTCACTTCTTTCCAGTAAAGAACAGAAGCATAAGTACTCTATCCATGTTTCTTTGTTTGTGAGAGCTATTTTCATTGCCTATTGAAGAAAAGAGTGGAAATGATTACCGCAGAAGGACAAATGCTGTGAAAATAAGAGTTGGACTTCTTTATCTAAAAAATAATAAACAAAAAAATTGGTACGACAACCAATTACAAAGTAAATGTTGGGAAATCTACCTTTAATACTTAACAGTGAGTTGCAGATAGTGAAAACCTCTTACAGGTTCATTAAAGAGAATAAATGGTGTTTTATGTTTTTCTTGGAAGGGTCCAGATCACCAGACAATCTTATTTAACCACGGAGCTGTTCAGAATATCGCACATCTGTTAGTGTCCCCCTCCTACAAGGTGAGATATTGAAATTGCTCAGTGTTTTACCTACATTTATGAAAGGGATCCAGATTAGTATTATAAAAGCTCTGTCTATGCGTATGAACTAGAACTATGAGCAAGTATAATTGTATTTCTAGAATAGCTGTTTGCATTGCTGTGTGGATTTCTGTGAAAACAAGACCGGTTGCTGTGGAGTGCTCTGTGAAGTTAAAACACCATCTTTGAAAACCAGGCTTTAAATGAGAATCTCAGGTGAAGGGACATTTGGGGCTCTGTTTCAGGGGCTTGTTAATCTCTTTTCCTTTGGTTTTGGGTTTGTCCCATAATCAGCTGATTTTAGCAGTGTCTTTCCCGTGTGTTGTATCTTTACAAGTGTGCATCTTCACTGCTGGTGAAAGGGACTACAGCTTTTACAGTGACATTACAGATAATGGTTTCAAGACCATATTTCTCTTTTTCTCGTGTAACCACTGAACAAATTGCCTTTAAGTGGACAGTACTGACAAGGAAAGTAGTTGTCATAGCGGTTTTAATATCTTAAATAGAGCAATATTATATTAAATAGTTCACTTCCGGCTAGATGTAAGTTTTTCAGCTCTTCAGCTGAGGGTTTGACTTTTTCCTTGCTTTTTCAATACACAGTCTCTGCTTCCTGCTGCTCTGAGGCACACGCTGTATTCATTAGATTGTCTGAGAAGGAAGTGGAAGGGCTGTCAAATAAGGCTTTTTTGTCTGAAGCCAGATCACCTGCTCTCTGTTCCTCCTTACCAAGACTTCACTGCTCCTGACAAGAAGAGATCCTCCTGTGGCTGTGATCAGTTATTACAGAATTAGCACACAAAAGTGCGGTTGTCTTTGCTGTTGTTGTCTACCCATGGACTTCCATGTTTCTGAGACTTTTTATTGAGAAGGGTGAGATGGGCCTAAACCAAACTTGCAATAAGGGCTTTCTGCAGGGCCAGGCTTCTTGAGGTCCAAGTCTTGCTCCCTTGGCTTTGTTCTCACGCTTAGAACGTGGTCACAGAAACAGGGAAAGACGTGGATGCAGTTCAGATATGTGCAGCTGTAGAAGGTGAAATGGAAGGCTGATATCTGAACTAAGTTGGATTCTTTGGGAAAACGATAATGATTGGTCTTCCCTGTGTCCAAGAGGAGGTTATAAAGAGTTCATAGCCCAGCTTGTCGTCTTCACAACGTACCCTGTAGAACGATAATGCCAACAACCACAGGAGTGCATGTGTTAGATGTTTACGTCTGCCTTTTATTCATCATCTGAATTTCTTATTGATTATACAGGATTATTTTCTACAAGCCTAAACAACAATATAGACCAGCTTTGCTTTTAAGTTAGCATGTATATTTATACTTCATATATATTATGGTTTTACACAGGTTCGAATGCAAGCATTGAAATGCTTCTCAGTGCTAGCCTTTGAAAACCCACAGGTATCAATGACTCTTGTAAATGGTAAGTACAATGCTGCTGCTGCTTATCTGGCACTCTCTTAATTGCCTGGCTGCATTAGAATTACTTGGAGTTCTCTTTTGTTGCTTGCAGTGTCGGTCGATGGAGAATTGTTACCACAAATTTTTGTGAAGATGTTACAAAGGGACAAGCCTATTGAAATGCAGCTCACGTCAGCCAAATGGTAACTTTCATCAGGAATTAAAATGAAATAGCATACAATTTAATACTTACTTTTTAACTGTTCTCTTTTTGCTTGTTGCAAAGTAATCTGTGGTCTACAGTCTAAGGAACAATTACAGATATTACTTGAATTATCTGTATCCTTGAAGAAGTGGTTCTTGCCTGATAACCTTTGTAGTGTAATTTTTACTCTTTGCTGTACATGAACAGGAAAAAAAATGTTGCTGAGCAGCAGTTTGGGTAGGATTGTGTATTCAAACATGAATATTCATAAGCTCAACTTCAGTTTTTACAAGTAGCTTGGATGTTATGATAAGTTTTACTTGGCCTAGACTACGGTCAATGGTATGGCCTTAGAGTTTAGTTCTGAAATGCAATAATGTGATCCAAGTGAATGTCCTTGTTTGCCGCTGTGCAGAGGACTCACTCAGGTGACCGGGGCTGGGATGTATTGAGAACTGTGTGCACTGAGATGAGAGAGCAGAGTTAGTTCTTCTTCCCAGCTGCTTTAATTAAAATGGATTATTCTTTAATTCTACTATATGAGCACATGAAACTTTGTTATTAGTTAACGTTATAGTTAAGATGTGTGTTTTCATTCATGATGGCTTTCTAACCTGTGACAAAGTGTGACTAAGTTCTGTAACAGCAACACGAGAGTTACACTCACTTCATAAGCTGGGAACTTCGTGGAATCGTGGAAGCAGTTACAGAGACGTGTGTGTGTGTGTGTAGGGGTTGTCTGAAGAAGGCAATCCCGCTCCGTGTGGGGACCTCCCACGCTCCTTTCCAACCACAGCTGGTCTATGCAATCTGGTTTTACTGGTTTTGTTAGGCAGCATTTAGTGAAGAAGGCAAATTAAATTAACTGCATTGTAGCAGCCTGAGTTCCAATTTATTTGTGTGTTTCTTTGAGAATAGATAGAGAATTAGGTATTAGAAATTGTTTTGGTTTTCCTGATCTTAAGATATAAGGTACTTGATGAATCACGAGGGCAGTCTGGAGCTACAGGAACTGTTCTTGTTATGGGCTGAAGGCTCCCAGGTCTGTGGGTGTTCCTCACTGATCTACTCCAGCGTGGAAGGGGTTGGGTTGACAGTCCCAGCTTTGGCTGCTGCTTTGCAGTACTTTGGCTCAAGGGGGCCTTGGAAAGCATGGAAGAAAAACGATGCAGTGAAAAGTGAAGAAAATGACAGGAAAATGGAAGACAAAACACTATCCCGAGTTTCAGATGAGTTTCTTGTTAGTCCATGGGCAGTTATCCTTAGCAGGGCACTCGAGGCCTCAGTTTTGTGACGGTCCTGGGAGATTGCAAAGACCTCCTGGCTCTTCCTCTGTAAGTCCATGTTATTTAGGTCCATAAACAGCAATGGTGGGTGAATGTCTGTTTTGTGTTGTTACAGCCTTACTTCCATGTGCAGAGCTGGAGCAATACGGACGGACGATTCGTGCATTGTTCTGAAGGTGAGCTGCTTGAACCATTTTGTGTCCAAAATGTTCTCACTTAGGGCTATCCTGTTTTGATTTGGATCTTTGAAAGAGTAGCACAAAGTCTGTTACACTGAAGATTTCAAAGCACCGGCTTCTCCTGATTTTTTTACTTAAAAAATTGGTTCCCTAATTTCCCTTGATGTCTTTAAACATTTATAGTGACATGGCTTTTTTAAGAAGCTTTAAATAAAGAATCATAGCAAAAGGTCAGTGTCCAGGAATAAATATCCCAGAGTTTGACGTGCGTCCATTTGAGGTTTGTCATTGTTTCAGTAACCGTTTGTAAGTAACATGGAAACAACATTGCTGCCCTGGTGTCTGTGTACAACAAGGCACTGGTTTGTCTTTCAGTACCTTATTTCATGAGACGGTAGTCGGAATATTTGCACACTCTATACATGGAGTCTGTCATGAGCAGATGATTTCTCAGGTTTCACAATGTCTTTGTATATTTGTGTGCTTCATACTTTGGCTAAAGAAGTTTGTTATTTTAAAAAAAACCTCTTGTGCTGAAATACTGATTTTACTTTCATACTGCATGTGACTTTATAAGGAAATTCCCTAAATACAATAGAAATCTGATCTCTTTCTTAATAGTCAAACTTCTATAGCTAGTCAAAGCAGAAGAAAAATGAAATATTGCTGAGCAAGCAGATCAGCCAGAGATCAGATAATACCAGCACTGCCTGTTTTTCCCCATGAGACACTCAAGTGTCACTGTCATACTGCAATAAGAAAACACATTTGCTTTCTGTGATAATTACTGTAGCAGTCTGGCAGACTCCAAAGCTTTTAGTATGCTTTTAGGATCCTTCATTCCAGAGAGTAGCACATAGGTCAGACTGAAGGAAATGCAGTTTAAATGCTTGCAAAAATGTTGTTTTCCCCATGCACGCCCCTGTACGAGAGTTGAGATGCTGTGTTCCTGGAATGAGTCTGGCAATGAAGGCTCTGCTCAGCAAAGCAGGCGTTGTCAGGGTTTGGTGTGTGTGATCTGAGACACAGTCACTTGTTGTGGGAGGTCTTTGGCCCCTCCGTGGTGTTCGGATCTGCTCGTGGACAGGCACCCAGTAAGTGTCTGTGTGACCACGGCGTGTGTGAAAGTCCCTGGCACTGCACCTGGCTGTGTGTGCAGCTCAGAGCAATCAATGCTTCTCACCACGACAGGCTGCTGGGCAGCATCTTGTTACCAACCCCTGGTGCCTCCCGCACGCCTCTGTTTTAACCTGGAGAGCTGTCGCCAGAGAGAACTGTCCCTGCGTCCTGCTGCTTGGTACTGCTGGGGAAGGGTAGGTTGTATGTAGGATATACTGCAACAAGGAAACATTACGTTCCTGTCAACGTCTATGGCGCTAGAATCTGACATATCTACAGCTTTAGTTAGTGGATTTTTGGTGTCTGTCATCCCAGGTAATGACAGATGAAAAATCTGAAATGCAATTCATCCCAGGGGTGCTTGGTTCTTGTGTGTATTTAGATTACTTCTGAGGGGATTTTTATATATTTTTTTAAGCTTTAGTGAAACTTTGACCATGGTCACCTCTAAACCTTGCATTCACCCAGACTGATTTTTCACTACGTGAGTAGTTGGTTAAAAGTAGCCTACTGTGTACTTGGTAGTGCCTGAACAATTTCACCATGCATGTAGTCTTTAAAACCACTGAAATCTTTCTGTCTAAAGGTGCCTCTCTAAAGGACATTGCTGAGAGTTGCTCTAGGATAGCTGCTTGATTCTTTTTGTGATCTTCTTGATGAACATAGCTGCACTAAACAATGGTGGGGGTTTTTGGTTGTTTTTTTTTTTTCTTTAACTTTTCAGACTCTGCCATGTTTGGTTCGAATGTGCAGTAAGGAGAGACTGCTGGAGGAGCGAGTGGAAGGAGCAGAAACGCTGGCCTATTTGATTGAGACAGATGTGGAGCTGCAGAGGACCGCCAGCATCACCGACCACCTCATCGTCATGCTCGCTGACTACTTCAAGTATCCCAGCTCAGTCAGCGCAATCACTGACATCAAGAGGGTGCGTTTGAAAGTGCGGAACCAAGAATAAACAGGCTCGGGATGTTTTTTAAATTCTATTTAAACTTTATGTCTGAGTTCCTCAACAGAAAGGTGACCAGAGGTCCAGCAGACAAATCTTTGCTCACTGACTGCTTTTTGTGGAGCCTGTATTATCCAAATGAAAACAATGGTGTATATCTGGACTCCTGTAAGAAGGATGCTGCCATTCTTGTGTCAGAAATAGAGAGATGGGTTATGGGTAGTTTTAATATAGCTTCATTACATATTTTAGAAATAGCAGTAACGTACCAGACTGAGACATGTGTCGTTTCTCCATGGCAGTGTTTAAAAGCCTTGCCTTCAGGAACCAGTGCATTTCAGCTTCCTCAGAGATATTAGTCCATGTGATGAGAAATTGATTTCAGTTCTTAGTTCAGCTGAGAGAGAGCTCTGTTCTGTTTGAGCAGAACAACATATGGATTTCATGTAGCATTTCATACTAGGAGTTACCTGCACTTGCAAGAGGTTGGAAAAACAGAGAGCAAATCCACCATAGTTGCAGTATAAATTCAAATAAGCAGAAGGCAGTTTAGCAGCTGATTTGGGGACTAATGGATGTGGGCTGTAGCATCAAAAATTATTGAGTTCCAAATGTGAGCGGGGTAATTTATAAGTATTATGACATTGCTTTGAGTGTTCAGAAAGTCTGTGAAAGCAGTCAGCTGGGAGCCAGGGTGCTTCCTTTGTAAAAATACTGGGAATTACACCCTGTAAGGTAAAAGCTGCATGAGTGAGGACTCTGGCTAGCACATCACTTGTCTGATTTAAGTGTTTTTAACAATGATACGCACTCAGTTGTACATCAGCTAGCGGAACAGCAGTTCACTTGTGTTGTAGACAAAACCCCAGTAAACATGCCCTAGTTTACAACGTAGGAAAATACCACCTGTAACTTTTTAGTATCTAAATTTGACATCTGTGCTTTATTTCAATAGCTTGACCATGATTTGAAGCATGCCCACGAACTGCGCCAGGCTGCTTTCAAGCTCTATGCTTCCCTGGGAGCAAATGACGAAGATATCCGAAAAAAGGTGAGCTTGTGAACAGTGATAGCAATCGGGCAAAGCTAGAGCTGGAAGTTGGGCTGAGGGCAGTGCAGGAATTCCATCCCTGTTTTCCATTGTGGTATAGCCAAGTTGAAACAAGAAAGCTCTCTTTCTGCTATGTTACTGTTAACTTTTACATGGCACTTTTTTGTTCAAATCCCATGCAAAGAATGAGTGTCTTGCTGTAACAAAATATAAGAGCAAACATCTTCACAGCCATGAACTGGATTCTCACAGGAACTTGTCTTTCAGCAGGCTGTGGTCCTTGCTAGTCACGTACAGGGATATTGTCGAGGCGTATGAATTTCTGAAACCTATGTTCTGAGGGAGAGAACAGGTCTTTGTTGTCACGTACCCTACTGTCGTACAGCCATTTTTCCAAAAACAAACCCTAGAAAGTCTCATCATATTGGGAAGCAAAGGGAAAATTTGTCCCATGGTTCCGAAGTGACCAAGGGGCTTGCGCTGTTTTAATAAAGCAGTTGGTGTGAAGGAGAACAAACTCTACTTAGAGATCACAGGAAGGAGATTGGATGTTAAAAATCTATGTGGGAAAGGGAGGGAAATTAAACAATGAATAATTAAAAGCAGCATTTTTAAAATAAAGCATGGAGTTGCTGTGTCAGACAAAAATGGCAGGCACAGGAGGCAGGAGAATTTTCTGAGTTGATTTGTTGGTTAAAAGGGAGAAATAATAAAAAAGCAAAATGTGGACAGGAGGGAGGCAGACAAACACAATATTGCAAAGGTAACTGGCAAGAAGAGTCATCAATGGTGAATCAGGATCAGGATCTCTGGTATCTGAACCCAGAAGTTTCTCCTTGGTTGCAGAATGAACTTCTTTAGTTAATAGTGAGGATCCTTCTTTCACATATCAAAGCATCTTTTTAAATAAATGGTGCGTATGTACATGGCAAAGTTGATTTATTGTACATTTTGGCATTAACTTCCTTTTATCCTAGCTGTTAGTGCTTGTGGTGGCAGTGTCTAAATGTGGCAGGTGAACTACTATGCATTTGTTTCCAAATAGCTTCACAATATGTCTATAATCTGTAGTTTGTAAATATTGTGTGTGCTCACACATGCACTCTTGTGTTTTAATGTGATATTTAGGGTAATTCATATATAGCCCTGTTATTCCACAATGGTTAAGAAAATAATTTTGAAAACAGTAGTGAAGCGTAGAATGTAGGAGGTTTTGGGGGTTTTTTGTTGGGTTTTTATTATTATTTTTGTTTATTTTTTACATTGTATATGGATGCACATTACTTTTCACTTGATCTAGGAAGAGACTGTGGCTTGCTGTTTTTAGCTACAGTGTTTTATATAAAATATTTTAAATGTTGCAGATGAAAGCACAACCCATAAACGCTCATATTATTTTATTCACATAATATTAATTCCTTCTTTTGCTCCAGATCATTGAGACCGAGAATATGATGGACCGTATTGTCAATGGCTTGTCTGAATCTAGTATCAAGGTGCGATTAGCTGCAGTCAGGTAGGAGGCTTTTCTGGTTGGTACAGATACTTCTGTCTTGTCAGAGTCTGATACTGTGTGGTAATGGAAAAGTTAGAGTCTCTGCCAACTTCTCAACAGCTGATCTGAAGTAATTTCTGCTCTTTAAATTATCCTGGACTGGTACAATATTTCACTTTTACTCTTTACAGTCTATTACTTAAGAAATTCAGAGCTGAATCTTTGTGTAGAAGCAGTGTCTGTATTACAGTAGTGTACCTGTGAGTGTGTGTGTTGCACCATGAAGGTTTCTTCTCCCCTCCAGATGTTTGCACAGTTTGTCCCGTTCTGTACAGCAGCTCAGGACAAGTTTTCAGGATCACGCTGTATGGAAACCTTTGATGAAGGTAAGGAAAGAAAAGCCAAGTCTCAACCACTGAAGTGCTCTGTTAAAGGAGGATAAGGCATCTGTTCAATTTGTCTGCCTTTCTGGAGAGTCCTAATAGAAATTACCTAGAAATCAAAATTCCATGACCTCCAAAACAAGTGGTAAATCAGTGATCATTTGAGTGATCAGTGAGTGAGGCTGTTACCCCTAATGTCCACGTGGGCACCAGAACTGCATCTCCTTTCACGGCAGGCCCAGACTGGATGGCACAGTCCAGATGTGGTTTGTCAGCCCTACTAGAGAGCTTAGATCTGTGTTTTCTCCTGTAATTCTTTACCTTGATCTCATTGCAGATTCTAAAGCTGAGGGCAAACAGCTCAGTAAGGCCTTTTAAAAGACAATTTTCAGTATAATGCTGATGTTCTAATTCTCAGAAGTGATGGACTCTAGCACACCTGACTCTGGTTATCCTATGCTCTGGACTTTTATGTTGCTTGCATGAACTGGAGGCCCTAAAGTATAGGCCCTTCTTCATTTTCTAGTTTCATGATAGAAATGACATGGGAATTATTTTCTGACAATATACACAGTACAGTTATTGCAAATTAAGCATGTGTCCTTGAATTAGGTGTGTGAGTTGTGATACTAATCCATGGGTCTCTAATTCATTTGTCTTACTGGGAGGTCAAGGGAAGTTTGTTTATGCAAGGTTTTGCTATCGCTATACCATAATAATGCCATGATTTGGGACTCATGATCATCACCTGAAGGGACTTGGGAGGAATGGTTTGAATATTTTAAGAGTTTGCAAAAGGCCAAACATGAAAACATGAAACCTTTATAAATGTAAAGCACAAAAATGGCAGTTTTTTAGCATAAAAGGGGAGCTGTGTGAAAAAACCAAATGTCTGTGTCAGATTTCTGTGTCCATACAGCTGCTGGCGGTTGTTCACTTTGATTTGTATTAAATCAGCTGAACTCAAACTTGTATGTTCATTCCAAAAGTTAAGAATTACTAATCTTAGTCTAGATTAATAACAACTACGTAAGTGCTTTCTCTTCCCCCTAGCCCGTATAGGCTGTCATGCTATGTGTATCATCACTTGGAGCTGAATGGGCACCATCTGAATCCACACTGCTACCGTCAGAGCATCTCCTAAAGTACAAAATGTCCAAGTGCAGAATAATGACAGACATTCTGTTTCAAAATGATCCCCTGCGTATCTCCCAGTTAACGGAGATTCCTTGCTCTCTTTGTGACTGCAGGTTTTACAGAACGCTCCAAATGAAATCCTTGTAGTAGCATCTTCCACGCTATGCAATCTTCTTCTGGAGTTCTCTCCCAGCAAGGAGGTCAGTATTTCTCCAGAGACAAGGAGAGGTGATGCAGGAGTTACTTTTCTGCTTTTTGAAGCATTGTATAATGCATCTTAATTGGTACCCGCTGCTGATGGAGCATTACGGAGCTGTAATGTTAGGCAAACTGTACCACTGATAGCTTGTGAATGAAAAAATCATCTGTTTACACTGCTATGACAGTTAAATATGGTTGAATAGTTAATTGGCGTCTCTAAAGAAAAGAAGTTGACGTGAAATTTTGGCGTTCTTTATTTGTAAAACAGGACTATCTAAAAAATTCATCAGCAAGGAGAAAGCAAACTGATAATTAGCAAAATGATCCATTGTCTTAGAGAGTTACTGCTGTGGTCTTGAAACTGCTGGCGTAGCCGACTCTCCTGGTTTTTATTGCTCTCAGGTGAATGATACAGGATATCTGCTCTTGGGTTCTGCAGTGTCTGTGTTTTATAGAGGTCATACATAGCAATACATAGCAATGGAACAATTCTCCAGGGCTTAAAATAATTCTTAATTATAGAAAACATTTGCAAGACTGTGGTGTATGTGGGCTCCTACAGGGCAGTTTGGATTACCTTGGCTTGATCGATTTTTATCTCGGTGGTTTTAGTCATGATGTGAGACAGAAAGTTAATTTTATATAAAAGTAATAATGTAATAAATAACATAAAGTGCAGTTTAGTGACCCTTGTATTTTCCCTTACAAAAGAGCTGAGTCAGACTCAATTTTGGGATGTCTCCTGCCTGTGGTGCTGTGGAGCAGTCTTGAGGAACCAGCCAGCAGCCCAGCCCCACACAACTTCCCAAAAACTCAGATCTGTTGAGTTATTCACTGCTTTTGAAGCAGTAACTTCAGGAAGAAAGAAATACCTTACGTGCTAGTGCAGCTAGAGTCACTGGATGAATCGTCTTAGCATGTGAGCTCTTTGGATAGTAACCTTCAAATGCAGGTTGAAAAGCAGTTGTTCCAAATCTGAATTTCATTATATTAATCAATTTGAAAGAAAAGGTGCCTGTCTTGATACTTGTTGTAGTATCACATCTTTTAAGGAAAGGACATTTCACATTTCAATCTGGTTGTCAGGAACAGTCTTCAGTCTTTACTGTTGTGCTAAGTTTCTTTGTTGGATTTTAGTTTCGTCTCATTACTAAACACGAAGATTAAATGTCAAGAAATATACCAAGTAGCTTCCATTTTCCATAACCTCCTAAAAAGTCATGGTACATCCCATTTGATACCCAAAAATGTGCAGTTTCTCTAGGAAGACAGCATTTTCAGAGACCAGTCGTAAGCTGAAAGGTTTTGGGGAAAACACTTGCCTGTGTGACTGCTAGATGTGTATACAGTATCACAGCAGTAGATGTGTGAGCATATATGTATATATGTTTGTGTATGTACATATGCATGTGTACAACATACGTAGATACAGGTGAGAATAAGGCCATCTTGGCCTGGGTGTTTTCCATAAAAACCTGCCTTTTAATGCTTATGAATATAGGGTATGGCTTGTGGTTCCTGTGAGTGGACTGATCATGTTCGAGCTTCAGAATAACATATAAGCAAGAGTTTTTTGTCTTTTGTTTGCATTTGCATATATATCCAATTAATCTAAGTAGTCTTTTCCCCTCTCTGTTCTTTTTAGCCTATTTTAGAATCAGGAGCCATAGAACTTCTATGTAGTTTAACACAGAGTGAAAATCTTGCCTTGCGAGTAAACGGCATTTGGGCTTTAATGGTAAGTAGAACACACTGGTCAAGTACTGCTCAGGATTTTGCTGCTTAAAAGCTTGTGAATCTCACCTAAAAAAAGTGTTACTTGCTATTAAAAATAACATAGCTAAAGCCTGGCTTGTCATCCTACCTAACTACAGAAGAAAAACAGTATCAGCATGGAACGCTTTATCAATTAATCTATAAAATAGAAGAAATCCTTCAATTCTGATACCAGTCTGGTTGCTAACATCATTCAGGGAGACAGTGAAGTAGTGTCAGCAGCATGCCAGGGGACAAAAAAATCGGGTAATAACCAGATCAGCATCAGACTGTGTGGAAATGTAGCAGTTCCTCATAAGTTAGAACCTTGGCAAGATTGATTTTACAAGGGTATATGCTTGAAAGGAATAGTCTACTACAAGGGTAAAAGCCCAAGTTTAAGGTAACAATCAAGCAAAACAATTGTCTCTTTCAGAATATGGCATTTCAAGCAGAACAGAAGATCAAATCAGACATCTTACGAGGTCTGAGCACAGAGCAATTATTCCAGTTGCTTTCTGATTCTGATGTAAATGTTCTGATGAAAACTTTAGGACTGCTCAGGAACCTTCTATCTACTCGACCAGTAAGTAGTAAACCCACCTTCTTCTGGGAGTTGATCAAACACGCAGACAATACAAATTAATTTTTAATCTTCTTTGTAAAACAAATTATTTCTTTATTTAATGTTTAATATATTGCTAAAACTGAGGCCTTTGAATTTATCCAAGTATGTTAGCCAATGTACAAATCAGTGTAAGAAAGAGTTCTGTTCGTCCACTGAAATGTTGTAATCGTGATCAAATACAATCAGAGCTAAACAGTTACATTTAATATCCAATTCCATTGCATTTAGCTTTCAGCAAAGTGATTTTTCTAGCAGTCTTTCTGTGAAACTTGTCCAAAACAACAATAGGAGGGTTGAGACTGAGTGTGGAGAGGTTTATACATTAGGGGTACCTGTGTTTCTCCTTTCTTGACACCTGGAATATTTCTGTTCTTATCCAACTATATAGATAGTACTGGCTTTTTGAATTTGACTGTGGGACTTGTGCACTTAAAAAATGCATACAATCATTTTACACACTGAAATAAAATGGTTTGAAAATGTAAGCCCATGAATTGTTTTTGACAGGGAGAAAGATATTGGTGGAGGAAAAGAAAGGGGTAATCCCCTGTGAAGAACAGAGGGAAAACATGCAGCAAACATTTGGCAAGCCAACATTTTTGTGGGGGAAAAAAACCACGAAGCCTCTACTGTGCATTTATCACGTATTGTGTTTCTACCATAAAAAGGTCACTGCAAAAAATCTTCTGATATTTGTACTCGTTGAGTCTCAATAAATAAATTAGCTCTGTCTTGATGTGAAAAGATATTTAATAACTATTCATTAAATCCACCATGAGCTCTGGCAGGCATCACTTAAGGAGTTCTTCTGTCCCAGCTTCACGTATCTTCTGTAGTTGGTTTTAGAGCCAGAACCAAACATTGTCATTCTCGACCCAAAACTCACTCCAGAATAACTCACCCAGCAGCTTTCAAGTGAAGTCTCATTATTAGCAATTGTGAGAACTCCTACAGGAATCCCCAGCATCTTAAGAAATGGTAGTGTTCCACATGCAGGTGGTCTCTGGTGGCTGCTTGGTGTCACTGTTGAGTTTTGGATTCAGTTAATCCAGTAGATCTAGTTTCACCTTCTTCTGCTACTCCTAATGATCGATTATATTCTGGTATAGGTGTTTATAGTCTGTGATCAAATGGCCTTTACCTGTAAGTGTCATAACTGAAGACAGTTTTCCTAGATAAGTAATGTATATGGCTTATTTTTCTGAACCCTCTCAGACTTCTAAAATGTGGACATTGGACCTGATCCAGTGAGAGATGCCTCAGTTTTCATACCCCTCTCTGATACCCCCTGTTACCAGCAGTGGTTTTTTGAACTGCAGCATCAGTTAGAGC